ACCTCTCGCTTTCGCCTTGAATCACTCTCAAAGTTCGGATTTCGTCGAAGTTCGACCGTCATCCGCGTCACATCCGCAAAACTGCGACAGGTGTAGGTGTCTTCTAAATTTCGCTCGCACATACAACTCCTGAAGAAACTTGCAGGACGACGCTGCCGTCAGAGTACCATATCTTGGATCGAGTCACGGAGGGAGATGATCGCTCCCGGTGCGCTGTCGCTTGGAGGCTGGTGTAGGGCTCTGTTTTTAATGCTGGTTTATAAACACGTTTATAAACAGGTGTTTATAAACCCAGTTTTCAAAGTTTCTCCACAACACCCGGTTTTTAATTCGCTGTGGCGGTGCTCTAGGCCTCGGTTAGCGGCGTTTGTAGGAACTTTAGGGCCGCTTTTCTGTGCAAACTGAGCTTGAACTGACCCAAACTGTGAGCAATCGTCGTATTTTGAACCACCGAAAATAATCTGGGCTCAAAAGATCAGAAGATAGTCGGAAATCACCGATGCTCGGTGGTAGCCGGTCTTCTCCGCCTGTTTTCCCACTGAGGCTTGCCAGAAGACCGTCGGGGAGGTTTTTTTGGGTGATTTGGGGACGCCCAGTGGTAGCGGAGCGCAAAAACGGTATGGGACTCGTGATTTCCGCAAATTTTGGGGCGCGTGTATAAACATGTTTATAAACAGGGTGTTTATAAACGGAAAATTAAAAACCGTTTATAATCCGCCGGGGAATTATAAACAGAGCCCTAGGCTGGTGCTCTGAAAGAGATGCGCGCACCGCCACCGATGCGGTGATGCGCCGTCAGTGACAATCCGTCACGCCGTTACTCTCTTTCTTGTCTCTTTCCACCACAACTTGACAACTCTCTTTCCACCACCACAATGTCCGTGCAGCACAGGCATCTGAATACGTTCAACGCAGGAAAACGATCTGCCAAGGCGACTCGCGACGTGCGCGGGCAAGAAATGCTCTCAAAATTTGCCCAAATTCGACACCACCGGTACTCTCCCATCACAGATTTGTCCTCGAGTCCATTTGCTGTCCCCCGAGGGTGAGTTTTTCCGAGGCACGCATGAATCTCAAGTCCTGAAGCGGTCCTTTGTGTTCAAGTCGTAGGCTCGACCTGCGTCGCGGGGTTTTCTTATTTCTTATCTATCATGACTCGCCATCTGGAGCAACTTGCACGGGGTGTTTGTTCTAGCAATCACAGAGGTGCTGTCGCAGACTTTTCAGGTTTCTGTGGAATTCTTACTTACAGGTAAGTCTTTTCGCCACACCTTCGTTCTGTCGCGACAATTTATTCTCGTTGGAATTCGTCCACGCTCAACTTCTTCCTCAGTCAGTCCCGCGTTGCTGCTTTGAAAATCAAGCTCGAAGGGTCCAGGCCATAAACTTACTTGCCTTCCGCTCTTCACGCCAGGACACATGCGACATCTCGAAGTCTTCTCGGCAGCCGATGCCGAATGCATTCCTCATTGTCGCAATTCTTAAAAGCTTCAATTCTGGAGTGCAACACCGGCGACCACGACTGGCTTTGTCAAGGGTACTTCGAACATTACTCCATCCACCGTCCGTACACCGAAAGCTAATCTTCTGTAGTTCAAGTAAGTCGCTTCTAAGCTTCAACCGGGATACGTCTGTTGACACTGTCTGCCGACCTGTCTTCTTTTGACTTTCGGAAGTCGCCATTACCCCAATACATTGGGACGGACAGCTCTCAGCACTGCGTCCGCGAAACTATATACTTTCAACTCAACTCTGTCATGGCTTTGACTGACAATACTCTGTAGAACTAGCCCCCAACACGGGCGTGGGGGGTTTCAGGACAGTCTTCGAGTGTGAGGATTGCTCAATTGCGGTATGTGTCTTACAATCCCACGATTCTATTTTGGAATGCCGATCCCTCAGCCAATACCTCATTTCACAGGATTGCGAGAGTCCCTCACGTACGCACGCTGGTGGGGTCCGATTGGCACCTTGGAAAATGATCAAGCTCGTTGGCCGCGCGCAGAACACGCTCGTTGGTTGAGTGGCGAGAATCAACACGGACATGACGAAGTCGCCACCAACAACTTCGCTGATAGATATGTCAATCCCACTTTGATCCCACTGCACCGGATGCCGCACCTCAAGGGATCTGAGAGTAGATACTCGCATTCAGTCAAGCTTGATTAAAGATTTGGCTTGCCTAAACGCACTGGCGAAAACCCATGGACCACATGCCAGTTGGCAAATGGTGTGCGTTTCGTTTGTCAAGGAGTGCGCGCCTTTTTTTCAGACAGATCACTCCGTCAATCTCGCTTCTTGACACACAGATTCTATTTTTCGCATTCTCTCGCACAACCTCTCTCTCTCATCCTGCGATTATGGCGCTCACCATCGAAAAGCTGCACAGTGAGTTGGTGTCTGCCGCAGTCGCCCTGAACTGTACCTGACTTTTTCCAGTCCTGCTCGGCGTCCTTCCCCCACTTGCTTGTCTGGTTACCTACTTTCGTCTATATGTCCGGTACACCAGAGGCAAGCTCTGGTGGGACGACTTTTGGGCGGGAGTCTCCACCATGTGTGCCATCGTAGTCGTCGCGGCATCTATACTTCACCTCCAGGATCCTGGTATCGGACAACCATTGCAGTTATTCGTTGAGCTCAAATCTCGATATTAGCAAGCCTCTCCCAGCATGTCAAAATTTCGGTTTATTACATGTCAGAGCCTGTCCACCGTTTTGGAGCGACATCGCTCACGCAACTCCTAGGCTAGCTCAATCTTTCTACGCCGTCGTGTGGCGAGAGAAGTACTTACACCACCGTGGACTCGACGCTGATCATATCGCAGGACTGCCCGGATATCGATACTGTTCACGGTGATGCGACTATGCTTCTTTGGAGTGTTACGGCGACTGCTTTTCTGGATGGCGGTCCTCTTCTTTGTGACATGGGCGGTCCTCTTTGCCCAGGTCTGGTGGGTGTGCGAGCGTCAGCCCGGCTGGAAAGACCTGCCTACGCCGCAATGTGCCCTCGGGCTGGACGTTGCAATTGCGCAATTGATCAGTAAGCTTCTCATTAATACGGTATCGTTTCCCGCCCCACTGAACACACGTCTAAGCCGATGTTATATCCGACAGCATACTCATAGCGGCTCCCATGCGCCTACTGTGGCGAGTGCAGCTGCAGCGAGGCTTGAAGTTACGGCTAAGGGCGGTATTTGCAACCACCGCGATTGCCACCGCCGTCAGCTTGTACCACGCATACTGTGTCATACGCTTTGGCGGCCTCCGTGAGCTTGTAGCAGCCGCTGTTCAGGTGCAGTTTAATTCCACGGCACTGTGCCAAATTGCTGATCTCCGGTCGTATCACTGTAGCTTTCGACCAGTCTCCTCGTCGCGAACTTGTCCGTCATTGTCGCCGTCATATTTCGACTGCGGCCTGATAATGAGTCGGATAATACCGAACCTGTTTCGGTGGCTACTATCGGAGCCATGCGAGGCGGGGCACAACGGCATACAGTATCAACGATGGGTGCGACGGTAACGGGGGGCCCTCAAATCAATGTTCAACTTGTACAGACAAACGGCGGTTGGAACGACACGGCCTCCAGCTTCGAAGGCGCGGATAACGATGGTCATAAGGGGGTCCCTTCTCCTCCGGTCGCCCAGAAAAATGATACAGGGAGCGCATAATATTCTGTCCGTAACATGTAATCACCAGAATCGTGATTCGCTATGGGGTGGGCCACTTGTGGCTTGAATCGCCGTTTATCCAGATTGGTGCATACATTCCAGCCGAAAATGGACAGCAAATTAGAGTTAAAACGCCAACGAGTCGACGGCGTATACAACATCTCGCGTTGGACTTTAACCATAATCTTGACGTTCGAACCGGGGAAGTCCACCGGCATCCGCATCACATCCGCCATCCTTCAACTAACCGTGGTTCAAACTTCGCTCGCACATACAACCCCTGACACAAGGCATAAGGGTCTATTGCGGAAGGGCCGCTCTGCCACACATTTCCCAGCGAGCTTCATGTACGCAGAGTCACCCGTTCGATTCGGGGTTGGACCATAGACCTTCCAGAATGTTTCTTTTTTTTCTGTTCGGTTTAAATAATCAATACTTTTTTTTCGTGCCCAGGATACGGCACTATTTCAATGACAGAGGGACTGAAATAATTCAACATTCATGCCAGCCCCGTATGACGTTTGGAACGTTGCATAAATAGAATCTGAAGAAAAATTGGTGGTTGCAAAAGTTTTTCTTCTTGGATGTCAGATTCCTTCTATACTGCATACCTGCATGGCATCCCAACTGTGTATACCCGCTGTGGGACAAATAGGCCTCTGGCGCGACAAATAGGAACTCAACGAACAACATCAGAAGCATTTGATGATGACCGGAGTTTTCCGGTGCACGTCAACCACAGCGTAGTTTGAAGTTGAGCAATTTTCTAATGGGTACACTACGTGTCCATGTCGCTATTGACAACTGACAGCTCATCCCACCATACACGAAGTTATTTATTTTCAACAACGGGGGGACAACGGGTACAAATTTATTGTCGAATCCGGGAATTGCCGAGGTTGTTGGGGGGCTAACACAAGTCTAGTACCGGAGAATCACGCATAATGCCTGAGCTTCGATGCAACTGGGCCCACAGAACTATACCAGTTTTGCGCTTTTTACACGCACCGGCAAATCCCGGCCACCAGCAAATGTGTGGTTGGCTTGCTGTTCATCGTCTTGGAGGCCTTCTTTCTTCAACACTGAGCATACATAGCTTGTAAATCATGCAGTGGTACAGTACACCATGGATTTCACACTTGGCCCAAAATAAATTGTTGAAACGACAAAACTTATCTGCAGTTGATTTACGCAACGTTCCGAACGTCATAGCCCCGCGCCCGCGCAAGAATTTCGAACTCTATTTCTTCGCAAGAACACAATTTTTTCAACATAAGCATTCAACTTACGTCCCCGCCTGTCTGGATCCCGAGTCTCTGCTGCTCAGCTCCGGACACTATAGCTTAGTGGTTGAGCATACGATTGCAATATAGGCTTCTGTTTACTGTCATCGTGAGGTCCCGTGTTCGAACCACGGTAGTGTCTACCTTTTGGTCCCTCGGGCGATCTATTTTACTGGCTGAACCGTGTCACGTCATGATTGAGATGGGACAGTCGAATTCATGATGTATCTGTCGATGGCATCCTGAAGTCTGTTGATGAAACTGATTTCGGGAGATGAACAAGGCCCATGCAAGTCTCCGAATAAATTGAGGACGGGTATGTGCAGACTTTGGCAGACCCTTTGTTGGCTTAACGAACCAACCACAGCCAGAAACTCCGTGGTTGAAAACGCGTGGAATGGCGGTTGAACGAGACTAGTCTACTGTATAGTTGATCGATAGACGAAATTTCAAAATGCGCATCCGACGTTTTGTGCATGATAGGACCCCAGCAACCCACTTTTCTCCCCTCGCAATTCTTCTCATAGAACTCCAGAGGTTTAGACGCCTGAGCGCCAAACATACTTTGTTGATGGAGCGAGTCCAGAACAAGGAAGCACAGCCACGCGGCTAAAACCTCCTCAGACTCTTGACGCAAGACCCAGGATGCCACCGCCAGCGATAATGCCCATGCTACTCTCCCCGTCGCCCTCCGAGACCGAATCCGAGGGCGAGACAGACGACCCAACTCTCCTCCTCGCCGCCGGCACCCAATCGCGCCTCCGCCGCCGTCCCGCCGTCGCAGTGCACGCGCGCCTATTGCCCGACAGCAGCGCGCCCGGCACTGTCCTCTGGTGCGGCGTTCCACAGACACCGGACCCCGCCGTCGACGACTGGTGGGATGCGCGGCGCCCGGCCGTGGTCCCGTTCCTCCCGCTACCGTTGGACGACGATCCGCCGCAGTCGTCCTCCTCGCGAGCGCCGCGCACATCGACTGGCTGCGGCGAGCGGGTGCATGCTGCAGCCCACGCGGCGCGGGGGGGCGGACGCTGGGTCGGCTATGTGGAGGGTGTGGAGCGGACGGTTGTGCCGCTAGACACGGAGTATTTTGCGCGGAAGGACGAGGCGGCGTTAGGACTTGGCGAGGCGGGCTGTGGATGCTCTGTTAAGGGCGTTGGATGCGCTGTATGGTGAGCCATATCTTCGTTGCGATTTCTCCCTTCCTCTGCGCTCCTCGCGTGTTTCCAACATTGCGTAAAATACACGTCAATGGCTGGCAGGCTGTCGATCCTGGGTTCATCTCCAGATCGTTTGCCCCACTCATTTCGTTCATTTTCACTCGAAATTTTGTCGTTTTCGAATGTTGGAAGATCCAGAATACTGACGACGATTCTAATTTTAGTGGGAACGTTCTCGGTGCGCTGCATACGCCATGTCGTACGCACCAGTCGCGCAAGGGTCAGATGCACTACGTGTTCCTCCCTAACGCAGTGTCGCCCCCGATACAAGATGCAGAATCCTCACAGTGCGTATCTACTTCTCTTCCCTAATTCTCGCCGCCCCAAATTCTCCCTTCTTCCCCGTCCTCTACTTTTCATCTTCGCTGTCCGCCTTTCACCTTATCTTCCTCCTTCCTTCCGATCTCATGCTAATCCACCACGCCCCAGCCCCACCGGCCCCACACCCCCACGCCGCGCCCTCTCCCCGCCGCCCACCGACGAAAACACGCCCCCAGCCCGCTACGGCTACGAGCAGCCGCCCCCGCCGCGGCGCGGCACCGCGACCGCGTGGTTCGACCACGCCTGGCGCGAGGGGATGTTCCCCCCGGGCGAGCCCTTGTCCAACCGCCCGCGCACGCCGCCTGCGCGCGCGACGTCACGGACGCCTGAGGTTGCAAGGATTGAGGCGCAGCTTGCGGCGGTGTTTCGGAGGGGTGTGTCGGGGGCGGACGGGGAGGGCGATGCGGAGGGGGATAGAGATGGAGGGGGCGATGAGGAGGGGGAGGGGACACCAGATCCGGCGGCGTTGGCGGCGCTGAGGAGGGTGATCAGTAGTAGGTGGGTGTGCATTTCGCTGCTTGGAGTGGATTTGGGCTGGACGTGTCGGCGTGCTCGTCTGTGCCCTTTCGGCGCTCGCGGGAGACGTGCTGGATTCCTTGTCGTGCGCTTTTCGGCGCACGGGGGCTGGACCCGCCAACTTTCCCGTCTTTCCGCTTTTGGCGCCGGGAGGGTGGATGTGCTACCCCGCTCTCCTAAGGCTCTCTTGTTGTCCATCGCATTGTACTGATTTGCATTCCAGTGCCGCTTACAGTCCGCCCCTGCCACCAATGCCAACGGACGCACCAACGACACCACCAACGGCCGAAACCAGCGCGCAGGAACGAGCTGCCCCCACTCAGTAACATATCGTCCTTTGTCCTCGACGTATGCTGATTCAGAAAGCAGGCGCTTGAGTGACGACCCCATGACTCCACGACCCGCCGTGGCCGCACCACAAGCCTCAGCAGCTGCAGCGTTCACACCCCCCACGCCAGCGCCTGAATCCGCGACACCATCACAGGAAAGCGATGCACATATTGAGACAGACGCAGACGAAACGATGCCCTTGTGCGTATTCATCCCCGTACACCTCCCTTCACCTCTGACACCTGTGTTTCGTAGACTCGAAGCGGACGCTGTCTCCTCCGATATGCAGCTCGAGCCCATCGTGTTCTCCACTCCGCCGTGCGTCTCTTCGCCGCCCCGTTCTTCTCCAGAAGCAGGCTGAAGCCTATTTCCTTTTTAGGACGCAGCCGATACCCCTCCCCGCACCCGGAAGCACAAGCGCAAGTGCAGCGCCTGCGATGGAGGGCACGACGGCGGCGGACGAGCGCGCAAGAGCCCGGATCGCAGCGCTGTTTGCGCATCGGTGGGAGCGGTATGTATTACTCCTTCTCCTCCTATCACTACATTCTCATTTGGTGCTTCCACAGACCAATCGACCACCCGCAAGCATCTTCGTCGTCCTCCGCTATCCCCCCGCCGCCGGCCCCGGCCCCGCTCTCGCGCGCGCCAACGACGCCGCCGCGCGGCCTGCGGCGCACCTCCGCGCGCCCGGATTTACACGCCGCCGCCACCTCCCGCGTGCAGCTCGTCGGACGGCGGCGCGCGCCTACCCCCACCCCCACCTCCACCTCCACCTCCACCTCCACCTCGGGCACAGGCACGTCCACCCCCGCGAATGCATCGACAAGCACCCTCGCGCCGGCGGTGAGGTTCCCGAGCGTGCGCGAGCAGGAGGGGTGGCTGGCGGCGGAGACGGGGCGGCGGCCGTTGAGAAGGGCGTCGGTGCCGGATTTGCGGAGGCGGGCGGGGATGGGGATGGGGATGCACGGTGGGGAGGAGGGGTATGCGGCGAGGGTGGGGAGGAGGGTGGGGAGGTTGAGGGAGCCGCCTGCGGAGGGTGCGGGTACGAGTGCGGGTGCGAGTACGAGCGCAAGTGCGATGGCGGGGGCAGGCCCAAGTGCGCGCGCGAGTACGAGCTCAAGCACGAGCGCCGCAGCGGGGGCGCCAGCGATGGAGGTAGACGGGGACGGCGACTCGGATGGGGAGACGGTGCGGGCAGAGGGGATTGGGTCGTGGCAGGCGCCGACGCTGCCCCGCTCGCAGATGCAGACGCAGACGCCGACGCCCCCACTGGAGGCGGGCGCACCCAGTCCCGGGGAGCCGCCGCACATCACCCGCGCGCGCGAGCGCATCACGCAGCGGAATCGCCATCGGATGGAGATGATCACGCTCATGAGCGGGGGCGGACAGCGCAGTACGGGCGAGAATGGGGACGGGGCGCGGTCTTCGACGGCGGAGGGTCAGGGTGCGGGGGCGCCTGCGCCGGTGGAGCGGAGGCGGATTTGGTTTGAGCGATGAATGGGCGGTCGGTGGTGGATGGTGCAAAGGAATATGGGATCGACGGACGGGACGAAGGGAGAGGGAAGGATGGACGGACGGCTGGAACGCAATGGAATGGGATGGGATTTTTTCTTCTTGGATCAATGATTCGACAATAGACACGCTGCTCTGTATATGCTTTCGCATTCATTTCGTGGTCGTCCTACATACATGCTACATACATGCTATCCGTTTCCGCTCTGCGTTACTGTAACAGTATACTGCCCACCTGTATCGTACGATCCGGTGCTCGACTATTTATGATAGGTTCTGCAGCTGCTGTTCAGCAGCTCGTTTGTATAGATGAGCGCATTTGCGCTATCCACTGCCTGATCGTTCAATGCGGGCTCAAGGACGGCAGATAGTCGTTCGTTCCGTTAGCCTTTCTTCCATGGCGGCAGCACTACCTCGTCCTTGTCGATGGGGCTCGACCAGTGCTTCAGCAAACTCAAACCGAGTCGCTGAGTCTGCTGCATTCATGTGAGATTCTATACCAGTAGGTCTTAATTTACTGGATTGTCACAGTGCGAGGCTTTTCCGTCCAGAAAATTTGGAAGACTTGCCAACCGTAATTTATGCAACACAACACTCGACATTATCAACCCGTAACAGGACTCAGCGGTAAAATACAGTAATACATCTTTGACACACAAATTAGAGGTAGAAGAGAACCTGGCCGGAAATCATCCAGAACCAGACATGGCTCCGTAGGCGGCGCGCAAGTCAACAAAACAGCGCTCTAAGAATTCCTTCAGACTCGGGAGCATGATTAAATAAATTCACTCACCGATGAGGGGACTGTACGCCGCGAGCGACGCCATTGCACTCATTAGGCTTCCCAACCGCGTCTCGAGCTCCCGGGCTTGTGCTTGCGCACGGGGACTTCGGCCGCCAGAGTGGTGAGCAAGTGCAGTGATCTCATTCATGTACACGCTCGCCACGCCTGCGTAAATTGGCTGCAACGAAATTCAGATTTCGATAGCGGAATAGAGAGGGAAAGAAGACGCACACCAAACATCGGATCCGTATTGCGCGCGCCATCGAGGATGTTGACGGCGCCAACGCCGACGACGACACGTGCGGCTGCGGAGAGGCATTTGTTGCGCGCAGTCTCTGAGCTGCGAGTGTAGGGTGCGTGGAGGCGCACGATGGCGAGGTCCACGAGCCCATGCGTCAGTACGAGTGTCTGCGGGCCCGGAAGGGGAGGAAGCGCCGCCTGGAATGTATGCAGTCTTCGGTC